TATCTGATGCTGGGAATTATGACAACTACTATGGCAGACTAATTCGGACTAAGCACGTTCCCTGACAACAAGACCAAGTTGCAACGAGGTCAACTCACTTCAATAAATCGAAAGGAGACTTCTACCATACCAGATGCCACATCATCTTGGTCTTCATATTTGGATGTCTTTAGTCAACCAACAAAAAATAACGCCTCCTTGTGAACAATGAATTGGTAAAGACGAATAATTGACTTCAACATATGTAGCTCTATCATTAGAAGCTCTAAGTAACCCAAGGACAGTCTCCGACACGAAGCAGGAAATTTTTTTGATACGGCCACTAGCCAGTCCTGCTAAAAAATGGATAATATAGAAAAACTATCGCCAGAGTAAGATTGTGTTCCTTCGTCATCACTAATCAAAAAACCTAATATTTATCTTAAGTTAACCATGTATTTAGTTCTGAAATTGATAAGTACAAGAGCTTCAAGAACTTAAGACAGTTTCAGTGACTATTTAAGGAACTAAATAGATGTGAGCGTAAAATAATATATTTTTTAGATATATCGAAGGAAAAGCCTTGTTTTCAGCCTATCATTGTCTATACTCCGAACCCACCAAGAATTAACCGTTATCAAAATATAAGTCTTGAGAAATTAAAAGACCAATTCCAGAAAAAATTGCAACTACTTGCCAGAGTCCAAATTCACGAATGGCAGTGGACAACCAAGCGATTGCTTCTTGAGTATTCTTTGGGTTCTTCTGATCTCCTGCCAACCTGACAACAAGACTTCCAACTAGATCAAGACTACTGGCCTCCACTAGACTGGTCAAAGTTGCCTTTATGAAATCAGACACCTTTGAATCTCCTGCTTTATCAATCAATTCAGGCAAAATAAGATCCACTAGTGTTTGACTGACAATACCGGATGCGCCAGCCACCTGACCAATAATCTCGATTCGTTGCTTCAATACCTGAACAGTAAAAGTTACAAATAATAAAATAAAAATAAAATTAGGATGCATATTGAGTAATTTAAAAAAATTATCAAATAGTTTGATCCTGCTAGCCCTAAACTATTAAGTAGGAAGAAACAAGTTGACTTTCGCTTTCGGTGCATTTCCAATGAATCTTTAGTTATGTTGGCTTCGATCCGACTGATTCCTGTTTACCTATTACCTTGATCAACACACCCAAAATGGTTGTAGTTCTTTTGTCAAGTTGACTTAACTAAATAAGAACTTTTTATCTCGATTTATGAGTACTCCTCACCAGCTACTTCTCTGCGGTCCCTATTCTTCTGATCAACGATAGGTCCTTGATCCAGGCATCTCCCTTTTGCTGGCCTTTCCGTGAACCCGGTTGCTTAAAGTTTGCTCAGGCAATAGGCAAAATTACTGCTAATTCAACCTTCTACCAATCTCATGTTCATTACATTTCCCCCTCCAATTATGTCGATGCCCCCCTAATCTTCCGTTTCCATGTGTTTACATCGTATGAGGCCCTTCTTGCTTTTGCCTCTTGTTCAGGTTGTGCATTGAAGCGCTATTTCTGACCTCTTTGTATCTAGTTTTCTGAAAAGCTTTTAGTGTTCTTTTTTAGATGAATTTTTTCTCATATACCCAATACACTTTCACAAGAAGTGAGATGCGATAAACTCCCAAGCAATATGGCAAAACCAAAGCACAGCCATAAAAACCCAATTCCACCCTCTTTGGTAGCAATTAATATCGCATGTGGAA